CCCCCCCCCCCCCCCACTAACCTCTGAGTTGCATTTGCCAGGGTATTTTGTCACAGCAACAGAAATGACGTAGGACAGTTAGGAAAGCTTCCTAGAGGAAAAGGAAGTCTGAAAAAAGGCTAGTATTGGATTTTAAATGAGGTAGTACAGAAAAAAGTCACATAAGAAAATTAGAATTTTAGGAGAACTAGGTAAGGAGTCTTATAGCAAGGAGTAATAAAAAACATTTATGCAAGATGAATAGAAGATAAGGAGCGTATTTGCTCAATAAATCCTAAGTATATTTAGGTATTACTACCTGACATTTTATGTATAAAAGGTATGTATCTTTTTCCATGGGTTTGCTTTATAGAACTTAAGTCACGAAGTTACCCAGTTTTATCGCCGAATAATGACAGCAATATTATAAAGTGCTCTCAGCAGACTAAAGTCTCCTTTGCAAGTAATCCTTTTGTCCTGAACCTGGCATCTTTTAATAATAGAGACCTGTTTTCCTGTTGGAACACTGGGTGCATTTGGTATTAGGATTTTAACCTGGTTTTGTTTTCTTTTTCCACCTTCTCTGGCAGCTTAGTCAAACTCTGAAACAGGCACGTCAGCAGCTGGCATCCTTTAAAACTGTGGGTGATAAAAAGACACCAGTGTTTCTAAATGGTAGAAGGAAAGATTCTCCTGCCCATGAGGTAAATTAATTTTCAATATGCTGCTTTTAAAAATATGTGAAAATATATCTAGGAATTTATTTTTATATCAACATAATTTAGAAATGCAAAATAATTGAAGTAATATTTAATAGGGAATACTTGACTAAATTAAGATATACCTAAATAGTAGCCATTCTTTTGAAAAATTTGATTTTCAAATAATATCTGAAGAACAGGGAAAACTTTTAACTGAAAAAGTAGTATATAAAATTACATATTCTATAATCTTAATTTTAAAAATACATGTATTTATTCAACAAGTGTTAACACTAGGCCATGGTGGTGCACGCCTTTAATCCCAGCACCTGTGAGACAGACTCAGGCAGATCTCTGAGTTTGAGGCCAGTCTGGTCTACAGAGTGAGTACAGGACACCAGGGCTGCACAGAGAAGCCCTGTCTCAAAAGACAAACAAAAAATAGTGTTCACTATTTCCTTACTAAAAAGTAAAACTTACGTATTATAAAAATTTTAAAATGAAGACAAGGAAATAAAAGTTATCTATAACAGTACACAAAACTGAGACACTGTATTTGATCCCAGCAAGTGCAAGAAAGGAACAGAAGACCAATATTATCTTCCTGTACTGTAGTTATCCAAGTGTTTGTCTGTCTCGTTTTCTTACCACACTTCTCGTTTCAGATTCTCGTATTCACTTGTTTATTACATCCTTCCCCAGAAACACTGAACCCCCCCCCCCCCCCCCGAGAGATCTCTCGGTATTCTCACCAACAGGCTAACATTTGTGTTTTTGTTAGTTTGGTTTCGTTTTGTTTTTTGTTTTTTGTTTGTTTGTTTTGATGCAGGGTTTCTCTGTATAGCCTTGGCTGTCCTGGAACTCATTCTGTAGACCAGGCTGGCCTCAGATTCACAGAGATCCGCCTGCCTCTGCCTCCTAGGGGCTGGGATTAAAGGTGAGTGCCACCACTGCTTGAGTAGTATTTTTAATAAAGGAATTAATTCTAAACTTAAATTTAGAATGAAGAATTAGAAATAAGTGTTTAAGCCTGTACTTAACAAAATGGCATTGTTTAGGTATCCTACTTATTTCAGATTTTACTAGTTTGGATGTTTGATTCTTGTGTTTTCATGTGTTTGCTCAAGTTTGGCATTAACTTCCAGGTTTTAGTAAAATAGACCCTTACTTAGGCTTTTTGGTGTTATTTCTGCCCATCAACTGTCTCTCAGTTCTTTCCCGGTTTCAGTACCTGCTTGGGATATGGCATGAACCATACACATTGTGTGCTGCTTAACTACAGCAATACAGTCTATCCTGCTGTGACTTTTGAGATACCTTTTCTTTTGTGCCTTGCGTACTCTCAAACCTGCCATGTATGTGGACTGTTGGAGTCATGGGTGGGTACTATTAGAAAAGGGACTGCACAGTTTTACTCAGACAGGAAAAAGGTGTTGTTAGTTCCTAGAGACTGTTGTTTGTTTGGAATATACTCAGGCCTTTCAGTTGCCGTTTTCCCAGAGAAAATACTGTTCACTGACCTGACTAAAATAATTAATCCTGTAGAAAAGAGAATTAATCCTGAAATAACATCCTTGTGCAAACCAGTTTCATACGTCAGAGGTGCCATATGGGTGTAATTTATTATTATTATAACGATAATGAGTTCAAACTTGCTGCTTGTTTCCAGAGAATGCCATGTCCTTTTTCCAGATAAAAGAATAGAAATAAATCCACTCCATATAACTGGGAATGATCTGTGAAATTAGTGAAATTTTTCTTACATGTACACCTTTATTTATCTTTACTCATAGCTGACCTGTATTCATGTATGTGTGAAGCAGAAACTACTAATTGAAAAGAATTACAATGTAACCCAGTTAAGTTCTGCCTTCATTTTCTTACTAGACTTTAGTGGCATTGTACTCCTATCTAATTGTCACTGTCATTCAAGAATTGAGATACAAATACAACATGTTCTTGTTTGACCCTTGTTAGGTTGCCAAGACTGAAATTAAACGTCTTCTGTAATCATTGGTGGCTAGAATCACTGCACGCTCTCATTTCTAAAGTTTATATATTCTTCCAGTGTATTTTATTCCACATGTTGACATGTGATTTATTTGTATAGTTGAAGTGAAAATGGTAATTCTTTTCCTTTATTCTAAGCTGCTAGGTCATTAATAAAGATTAAGTGAGTATTGTGAGTGCATTGCTTTCCCTAACTATTTATATATGGACTGGCTTGTTTTATCTCCCCAGAAAGCACTTCTTAGCAAACCAGCATGCATCAAGATAAACAAAGAAGCAGGAGAGGAACCCCTTGGTAAGATCCACGAAGGCCCTTTAACTACAATTCATTACCAGAACTTTATGGAAAATCAGGTAGGGAAATGTAGATATAGGTGTTTATTGTCTATTTATATCTCTTGTAAAGGAAATGAAAATTGAAAATTTTTAATTGGATCATCTTTTTATCATAAGGGTTTAAATGTTCTCTCTATGTTGTGAATGTATTTCCCTTATTAGACAGCAGACGTGTGTGAGCTTCTCCCATTCTGTAGAGTATCATTTCACTTTAACAGTACCATCATTTATAGGCCCCAAAGTTTAGTTTCGGAGTGGTCTGACTTATTGTTGTCTTTTGTTTCTTGCTCTTTTAGTGTTACCTCTCCTAGCATACATGGGATCATGAAGTTTTATTTTTAGGTCTTCTAAGTATATAATTTTAGCTCTTACTTTGAGGTCTGTATTCATCTTTAATTGATTTTCATGAATGAATCGAAGAACAGGTCCACTTCATTCTTTTCTATGTTGATACCCAGTTATCTTAATACCATTTGTTAAAGAGTTATTCTTTTCCCATTGAATTGTCTGACACCCTTGTCAGATGTCAGTTCATGATAAATATGACGGTTTCTTTCTTACCCCTTCTCTTTCTAATATTCTCTGTGTCTGTATGATTTGCTTGTTAATTCAACCTTTTTTTTGCTTATTTTTGTTTTTTGTTTGTTTGTTTTTAAACCAGCTGACTTTTTTTTTTTTTGAGACAGGGTTTCTCCGTAGCTTTTGGTTCCTGTCCTGGAACTAGCTCTTGTAGTCCAGGCTGGCCTCGAACTCACAGAGATCCGCCTGCCTCTGCCTCCTGAGTGCGGGGATTAAAGGCGTGCGCCACCACCGCCTGGCACCAGCTGATATTTTGATAGGAATTATTGAGTCTGTAGATCCACTTGTGAGCTATAGTGTTGGAAATGTGGCCAGTGTGTGTGTGTGTGTGTGTGTGTGTGTGTGTGTGTGTGTGTGTGTGTGTGTGTATTCAAGTAAGGTTTCAGTATATTGCCCAAGCTCATCTCAACTCATGGGCTTTCATTTCTATCTTCAAAGTTCTGGGACTATAGATCACCCACCAAATCCAGCAATATTGTCAAAGAACAATATTTTCTTTTAGTCTGAACATGGAATATCTTTTCATGTATTTAGATCTTTAATTTCTTTTAATAATGTTTGAAAGTTTTAAGTACACAGCCTTGTACTCTGTAACAGTCAATTACATTTGAATACATTGTTTTGCTAGACTTGTTTGTGGTATCTGAAGTTTTATTCTAAAGTTATTGTAAAGATATGGTTTCTACTTGTAATAGCTATGTTTAGTGAGCTTTTGGATTTTGCTTTTCATTTTTGTTATTGTTTGCTTTTTCTTTAGGACCTTGGCTGTGGGGAAATTTCATCTGTTGTGACAGGCGAAAAGGAGAAAGAAGATTGGTGTGTGGGTTACCAGCAGGATCTCCTTTCTGAGGACAGAGAAAAGGCTGTCAGCAAAGTTCAGGTAAAGCCAAAAAAGTAAACTTAGGGTCTTGGGGCACAGATCTATAATCTTAGCTACTTGAAAGACTGAAGCAGAAGGATTACAGGTTCATAATCAGCCTTGGATACAGTGTGTGAATTCAAGACCAGCCTGAACAGTGTTGTGAGAACTTATCCGAAAATAAAAGAGGATTGATGGCCAGGCGGTGGTGGCACACACCTTTATTCCCAGCACTTAGGAGACAGAGGCAGGTGGATCTTAGTGAGTTCGAGGCCAGCAGGGTTTACAGAGCAAGTTCCAGGACAGCCAGTACTGTTACACAGAGAACCCTGTCTTGAAAAACAAAACAAAACAAAAAAGGAAGTGGGTGTGATTGAGTATGTAGCACAGTGGGAGAATGTTTGCCAAGCATGCATAAAGTCCTGCTTTAGTCACCAGTAACGCGAAAAAGTGGTTAAAAAAAAGTGTGATTTGAATTAGGGATTTATGGTGTATTTAGGATTATTGACTTAGGTTATTTTTTTGTTTTGTTTTGTTTTGTTTTGTTTTTGTTTTTGTTTTTCAAGACAGGGTTTCTAGATGTATCTCTGGCTATCCCGGAACTCACTCTGTAGACCATACTGACCTTGAACTTACAGAGATCTGTTTGCCTTTCCTTCCTGAGTGCTGGGGTTAGAGGCATGCACCACCATCACCCGGTGACTCAGGTTATTTTAAAGTTGGACAGATACTAAGGTTTCACTCTTCTAGCTTTGCTTGATTATGATATCATTTAAGATTATTTTGGGATTCTTATGGGAAAATCTGGATTTTTGCTGCCATCTAGCAGTCTGTGTTTGTTATTTATATTTCCTTTTAGAAAGTAAAATTCAAAAATCCATTATTTTTTGTGATAAAAGAAGATGAACAAAAGCAATTGAATATAAATAGCCTTCAGGCTGTTCTTCCACAAGCCCAGGATTATTTTGTAGAAGTTCAAGGCAACTGTCCAGAATCCCAGAGTGGTGTGATAGATGTCCTTAATGTCGAGCCCAAAGCTTCGAGTATTGAACCTAAAACTCCAGGTGTTGAGCCAAACACCCAGGCCACTGGAATTGAGTTTAAGACCTCAGAGCCAGAAGGCCAGGCTCTTACGACAGCAAGTCAGGACATTGTTAAAGCCCAGACTGTTGAGCTTGATGAGAATATTGAGTTGGAAGCCCATGATTTTCTACCTCCAAATCAGACCTTTTCATCCAGAGACCGGGATTTTCTGCCCAAATGCCAAGACCAGGACTCTTTACCCAAAGACCACCATGTTCTCTCTAAATACTGGAATGTTCTTCCTAAACGTCAGGACCAGCATAGTCTACCAGTAGACCAGGAATTTCTACCTAGAAAGCAGCTTGCATTATCTGAAGAACAGAGTCATCCACTCGAATGTCAGATCCAGGATCTCCCACCTAAAGAAGAGAGTTTTCTTCCCAGACACCAGTATAATTTACCTATGTATCAGGACAGAAGAGGTCCACATGTTCTTCCTAAATGTCAGGATCATGATGTTCTTTCCAAAGACCAGAGTAATCTACACAAATGTCAGGAGCAGGATCTTCCACTCGAAAACCAGGTAAAATAAAGCGGGAAGGGGGTACAAGTCAGAAGTGACTTTGGTTTGTAATAGAATCTGCAAAGATTCTTCTGTAGCTGATTTGGAGATTCCTAGCTGGAGATGGCACTTTCCTGACTGATTTTTGAAACTCCAGGGTTCCTACAAAATGTTAAAGTAATGTCAGCAGTATAGTTTCTCTACCCAGGAGATTTATATGTAAAAAATAATTCTATATTAGGATAAATATTTCTGTCAGCCATCATCTGTTTTGGCAGCTGGAAGTTGAAAAGAGGCATGGCCTAAAAGTACCAGCTGTATCTCTCAACACAGGTTCCAGACCACTTCTCTGCTAGAGAACATTAAGGGCCAGAGGAAGAAGAAGGGACTGTGCAGAGAGAACAGTTTGTAGGGTTGTAGTTGGCCAGCTTCTTCCCCAAGCCAGCAGTCTAAGTCAGCCCGTTATTCTTAACTAAGCAATCAGTGCACAGTGTTTGTTCTTTTTAAAGCAAATATGATGAAGCCAGAGTCAGTTCTGAAAGGTAGACAGGGAGAGAGTCACTTCCTCTGATGTCTCTCAGGATCTCTGTGGGCACCATCAGGTCTCCATGAGGAGCAAGGTAGAGCAGAGAAAGGACAGAGAATAGCAGAAACTTAACCCTTTGAGGTTTAGTTTGGTCTTGCAAAAACTCTGAGCTGACTTGGGACCTGACAAAGCATGACTTCTGTGATTGTGTTTCATATTACTCTGAATTTAAAAATTACCTGACGCTCTTACCAAAGTCTTCATTATTATTTCTCTCATACTATTCCTGCTGGACATTTTTTTTTTTCTTTTGGAAAGTAAATTTTAGGGAGCCATTCTCTGATAGGACAGATGGGAAAAGGAGAGGAATCTTTTCTCTTGCTTGTTACCAGTGTCTGCCTCCCAAACCGCAAGTTCAGGATTTTATGAGAGACCAGGTAGGGCAGAATAGTATTGGGGGACCTAGTCTAGGTCCTGTTAGAATACACTCAGTGTGAAGAAGGATGTGTAAATGCTTAACAATTCAGTTCTTGCTCTTCTCTTTCTCTGTTCTATCTTGTACCTAATGGTACAAATGACCCTGTTTTAGTAAGTCAGATAAATTCTCCCACTCAAAAGGCAGTTAGTCTGTTTTAATTTACCAGGGTTATTTTCTGTTGCTGAATCCAACCATATTATCACAAACTTATTGCCCCAACATGAAGAGTGTAAGAAATAGTAGACCTTAATCCATTTTAAGGTTTGATGAGTTTGTTAGATTCTCCTATGTGCAGTTTAAGAATTAAAATCTAGTAGCTTTGGATTAAAAGTGTAGCATTGTCCCTGATTCCTGAGCATCAGTCAAGATTTACATGGAGTTCTCCCTGAAGCCTGCAAGATTTTGACTAGCCTATTTCCCTGGCTGATTATTATTGCCATTATTGTTGGTTTTATTCTCTTTTAGGACATGTTTCTCAAGCAACCATCAACTTTCATGAAAGGAGAGAGATGTCCTCAGATCCAGGACCAAATTTTCCTTAGAGAACAGGTAGAGAGCACCTATAGAATGAGGGCTGAATAACTCCTGAAAAAGAATAACAGACAATTTATTAAGCTAGCTTGTATGTGGAATACATAAACATAAGACTAAGAGTAAAATGTCGAGTTATTTTTAAATGTGCTAAAATAATCTGTAATTTACTTTAAAATACTCCTGAAAATAAAATTGGAGAAGGCTAGAGAGATGGTTCAGTGATTTAGAGCACTGGCTGTCTTCCAGAGGAATCAAGTTCAATTTCCAGCACCCACAGTGTGGCTCACAACTTTCTGTAGCTCCAGTTCCAGGAGATCGAGTGTCGCCTTCTGACTTTTGCAGGCACCAGGCACACATGTGGTGCTCAGTCATAACACTTAGAAAACACTTATAAATGTAAAGTAAAAGTTTTAAAATGTGAAGAAGACATATATGAAAAAGTAAGGGTTGCTAGTAAGAGTATCATAAGAGATTTATTATATTGTTTTGTTCCTACTTTATTATATGTTTGGATTTTTTATGACACGCACACACATACACCTTTGTTCTGTTGTGACTCTAGAATTTTCTCCTGTATTATGAGAAGATCATTTCTATTGAGACAGTTTTGTAGTTCCTTTTGATCAAGTGTACCAGAAGGAGGAATGGAGGATGGCGAGACTGCAAGAGGAGTTGCTTTGGAGGACTGTATACATGGTTATTTGAGCCCTACCTAGCCTGTCTGGGAGAATAGTAGTGAAGTATATGCTTCAAAGAACAAATCGCTTAGATTTGGGCCTGGGATTTGACAGGCAGTGTGAAGTAGTCACTTCAGACATGTAATGTTAAGGTCAATAATAATGGGCAAAGAGCAGAAACAGACTCTTTTTTTTTTCTGTTTGCCATTCTGATTGAAACCTATTTCAATCTTCATCAGCTTTAATTGCTGCTGTAGATGTTATCTTCCTGTTTGGGCAATTTCTATTGATATTTATGTTATTTTTTAGTACAAGAGCGATGAGCAGTCATCATGTGATATGATAAATGAAAGATGGAAAAAGGAATTATATCCAGAATGCTACAGATATGGTTTACATGAAATCCAGGATCCAGACTCTGCATGCAAGCAGGTAGAGTGGAGTTTAGTAAGTGTGAACAGTTAAGAGTTTGGGCTGAGCTTTTTAGAGTTATATTACGAACAAAGTTATTAATGTTATTATCTTTATTGATACTAACATTGTAAAAATGATAGCTAACCTTAATAAAGTATTAACAATAGCTCAAATTTTTTTTAAAGATTTATTTATTGGTTATATATACAGCATGTTTCCCTGCACACCAGAAGAGGCATCAGATCTCATTACAGATGGTTGTGAACCACCATGTGGTTGCTGGGAATTGAACTCAGGAACTCTTGAAAAGCAGTCAGTGCTCTTAACCTTTGAGCCATCTCTCCAGCCACACTCAAAAGTTTTTAGAAGCTTGTATGCATTATCTTTCTGAATTCTCACAATAACATAGGAGATTGATGCTGATATGATCCTTGCTTTATAGGTAAAATTATTTTACAGATGTATTAAAATTGTTAATAAGAAATATTTCCACTTTTATGGTTTAACATATTAGAACACTCTGGCTTATTTAGATTACCTGGGGCTATTACTGAAACCTGTAGTGTCTTCACTATTATGTCACCGTTTACACAAATTGATGTGCGATTTAGAGCTTACATTTTACACAGCAGCAACCATCTGTTAACACAACTGAGAAGTGGCAAGAGGATTTACATCTTAGTAGTCGTGAACATCTTCCACGCAGACACTGGAGAGAAACATGCCACAGGCGACAAGTATGTGTACTATTATAGATACCTTTAGCCTGAAAGTGGGGAAGCTGATCAAAAGCCATGTTGCAGCTGCGTGGTGGTGGGCATGCCGTTAATTCCAGCACTCAGGAGGCAGAGGCAGGCAAATCTCTGAGTTCATTGCCAGCCTAGGCTACAGGCTGCGCTCCAGTACAGCCAAGGCTCCACAGAGAAACCTTGTCTAAAAATCAGAAAAAAAGCAAAACAAACAACCCACATTTTATTTCAGAGCTTGTGCCAGAACTTGTTAGGGTGGTGTTGGCCAAAGTTTGGGGATATAGAATTAAGATCTCTAGTGTTTCAAGAAATGTCACAAGACTGTGGTCTGTTAAGATTTCTTTATGGCTCTTCTGAAGTCTTATGTATTCCATCTAAAGTTCTATTCTAAAATTATTTCTGTTTGTGGTTTTATGTGTTTTAGAATCAAAGGTTCTAGGTAACTAGTAGTGTTAGGGTGCCTGAAAGAAATCAAGAAATTTCCCTTGGTCTCATTCAAGGAGTCATAATGACATGAAGAAGAAGGGCAGAAAGGAGGACATGGCTGAGGCTTCAGGACTGAAGTTCTACTTTCTGGAACTTGTAGTTTGGCCTATAAAGTTAGCTTAAGGGAGTACCATCATGGCTTCTTCAACACTGTCATTAATAGTCCAAAGAGTAAGGCCCTTTTCTGAGGTGGGTCTTTTGCATTTGTGTTTTTCCTTGGCCTGGAGAGACTCCCCTTTTTCCTTCATTGATTCTTTCTGTTTGTTATGATTTGGGTATAAAAGACTCATTTGAAGGCTTGGTCCCTATGGTAGTGGTGTTGAGGAGTAAGTGGATCATGAAATTAAATTGCTGGCCTCCTTAGGAGGTTGGGTCTAGTGTAGAAGAACATCATCACTAGATTTATGTCTTGGAAGAATATGCTTTGTTCCTAGCCTCTGCCTGTCTTGCTCCAGTTCTTCCTATCCACTGTAAAATGTATCATTTTGTTCTATTCATGCTCTGGTCATGATGATCTGTCTTACAAATATGTGGTCCCAGAAACAACACAGCCATGTGAACATAGGCGGACACCTCTGAAACTAATACAAAACAAGTCTTTTGTTGTTGTTGTTTTGTTTTGTTTTTTGAGACAGGGCTTCTTTGTGTTGCCCTGTCTTGGAACTCAATCTGTAGACCAGGCTGGCCTCAGATTCACATAGATCTGCCTATCTCTGCCTTCTGAGTGCTAGGATTAAAGGCCACTGCCAGACCTGCCAAAACAACTCTTTAAAGCCTCCTTTAGTTTACCTTCTCAGGTATTTTGTTGCTGTGATGGAAAAGCTAGCTCAACTTATCACTCTTCAGATTTTAGCTTAAATGGTACCCCTTTGGAAAAGATTGCCCTGGCTAACTTTTCAAAATTATGGGTCTCCCACCCCTTTTCCTGTGTGAGTGTGTGTATGTATTTTCATATTTCCTTGTGTTCTGTTTGGTTCTCAGTATAAAACTATTTCAATTATTTATTATATACACGTTCCTTTTGTTTATTTTCTGTTTTTGTTTTTGTTGGTTTTGTGGGGGGTCTGTTGTTGGTTTTTTTTTTTTTTTTTTAGATAGATGCACAGTCCAGGATGGCTTCTAACTTGGTATATAGTTGAGGATGACTTTGAACTCCTTATCCTCCTAGTTGTAGGTAGAAGTTTCTGTCCTACCAGCAACTCCCAAATAAACACACTGAGACTTAATATTACTAATAAATGCTCAGTCGATAGCTCAGCCTTGGTACTAGCTAACTCTTACATTTAAATTAACCTGTTTTCCTCTCTATGCTTTGCCACATGGCTCATGGGTTGTTACCTCTTTTTCTATACATCCTGCTTCCTCAGCAACTGGCTGTCATCTCCCCTGACTCCGCCCACTTCTTCCTATCATTTTCCTAGTTTGGTTGTCCCACCTATAATTCCTGCCTGGCTATAGGCCAATCATCTTTTTATTAAACCAATCTGAGTGACAAATCTTCACAATGTACAAAAGGATTATTCCCCAACATTTCCCCTTTTTGCCTAATTAAAAAGATGGGCTTTAACTTTAACATAGTAAGATTATATATAACAAAAACAGTTATTAACTAAGAATTGCACTTACAATATCTAGTCTATTTGTATTTGACAAAATTAGAGAAAATATTTTATTATCTGTCTTATCTTAGCTTTATACTTAATTTATCTTTTATTATAACTAATTAAATTTTTAACTGTGATTTTCAACTTCATCAAATACCCATGAAGGATGAAATATTGCCTAATATCAGGGATATCAGGCTGCCTGGACAGTCATCCAAAGTTCCTCTGCAAAGTTGGGTCATCCAACTCTGGCCTACAGACCTAGTGTGACTGGAAGACATTTCTGTGAAGCAGGGAATTTTGAAGGACTGTCCTACCTTGTTTTGGCAGTGTGGCAGTTACTCTTCTTGTGTCCTGCTGGTCCAGTTTGGACAGTAACTGTCAGCAATTGAGGCAAGGGCAGTTTCTTTGCCTACATGGCTAGCTTTTGCCATAAAGAAAGCAAACTCCATATGAAGTTTATTTGATGCCCATCATCTTCTCTGAAGTAGATTGGTGCTGCCAGAAACAGATATGTTTCACTGTCATGTAAAGCCTTTGGTTATTAAACATTAAATACCATATTCTGTAGGTCTTTGAAGTATTTAAAGGCCATTTGTCTATCTAAATATATCTGTGCATGACTTTGGAAATATACCTAGGATAAGCTTAACTATTATAACTAATAACTTATATTTCTTCATTATACATTATATTTTAAATGAGATATATAGGCATAGTACTCCAAACAAGAGTAGAAACATAGGTACAGTAAGTTCTAACAAAAGTAACCTTAAATTTGTATCATTATACAAAAATACCTTAAATAGTAGAAGCATATATACAGTATAGAAAAATTAACCTCAAATTTGTATCAATATACAAAAGTTCATACCCATGTAAAATATTTAAGACTAATAGTTGCTTTTTTGGTTTAAAAGTAGATTGAATAATATACCCTCTTATCCTATCATTTCTATATCACATTCCCCTTTTTTTCAAAGGAGATCTTTGAATCTAATCTACATTGTTCAGTTTTTTTCTGACCATTACCAATAACAACTTGTAATACCCCCACTTGCATGATAACAAAAACCCATAAACAATTTTTAGACAATGTGGATGTAGTTTTCTAGACTATTTACTGTTGTTTGGGAGTGTTGACATCTTTTGGGAAGCTTTGAGAAAATTGGATAATTGTTAAGTCTTGGCTGGAGAGTCTGAGACTGGATCATCTCAGTCAGCAGCCTTGGAGCTGTCAAACATTTGTTGAGTACCTGCCAACATTAGCCATTATTTAAGTATGGTCAGATACAGCTGCAAACAAGTCCTAGCACTTAGAATTTCAGACAGTCTCAAAAAGAGACTGGTGTGTAATCAGATAGTTATTGAGCAACATAATTCATTCACAAAGCCTAGAAGAGAGGCACCTCTGTCCTAAATCAGGGTGAAGTTTGTGATTTGAATTTCTTCTTTTTATCCTACCTTCACACAGACCCTGAAAATCCTCAATCTTAGAACAATATTCCTCTTCTTACATTTCTAATCCAAAGACATTAACAGTGCTGATAAATACTAATTCCTACTTAGGGTTTCAAGTATATCAGGGTTCCCAGTGCTGCCTAGCTTTTTACTTGTTGCAATGCCACACTCTCATAATTCCTTTTTTTGTGTGTGTCTGTGCCCATCTGTCTCTCTTTTGTCTCTTTATGTCTGGGTATGCAGAGGTCAGAGAACAACTTGGTGGAAATGATTTTCTACCTGTGATTGTGGGGAATGAACTCAGACCACTGAGCTTTTATGGCAGGAACCTCTACTCTGCTGAGCTATCGTCTCTCTGATCCCAAACTCTCACACTTTCGTAAAGAAAATCAAAAGCATACATCTTTAATCATATCACTGGAGGCAGGGGCAGTGATATTTACTTCTATGACTTCAGCTACTAGGTGATTTTAAAATTTGTCTTAGAATACCCAGTAACCAACTCAACTCTTATATTCTACAGGTACTCAAATTGAAGATGTTCTGAGTACCTGTTCCAGAACAGTTCCTTTACCCACTTAATTGTGCAAGCTATCATCCTAGGGATTATTTTTATATCTCCTCTGTTCCTTCATCTTAGATCCCTTTTCAATTAAAATTTCTTATTATTGTGTGTTTATGGAATACTGTAAATGTAAGTTTGTGTTCCATGAAGTGTGTGGAGGTCAGAGACAGCTTTGTAGAGTCAATGTTGTCATTAGCTTGTCACCTTGTTCCACCTTTGTTGCCTGAGGTTTCCTGTCCTGCCTGATCCTGCAGCCATTCAGTCCCAAAAAAATATACAGAGGACTACATTAATCATAAACTGGTTGGCATAGTAGCTCCATCTTTTTCTTTTTTTTTTTTTCATCTTTTTCTTAATTAATTCTTACATCTTACATTAACCCATTATTCTTGTCTGTGTTAGCCACATGGCGTGGTACCTCTTTTGGCAAGGCAGTCACATCTTGCATCCTCTGCGTTTGGGTGACAACTGTAGACTGAATCTTTCCTCTTCCCAGAATTCTTGTTGCCCCACCTTTACTTCCTGCCTGGCCACTGGCCAATCAGCATTTATTGAAAATACAAGTGACAGGGTACAGACCATTGTCTTACAGTGCCCCCCCCTCGGTTTTTAAGAACAAGAACTCTGAATCGAATCTCCTTTGTTTAGCTTTTCTCCTGACTGTTATTCATAATAACTTGTAACCAACATTCTAAACAAAGACAAAAATTCATAATATATTTTTTTGGGGAATGTGGGCGTAGTTTTCCAGCCTACTTTCTGCTGATCGGGGGCACTGATAATCTTATAGGGACCTAAAGAAAATTTAGAATCATGGTCAAGTCCTGACAGGAATATTCTGTGAGGCTTGATCATCTCAGACAGCAGTAGAG